TGAAAAACTATGTTAAAAAGTGCAGCGAAGGGGAGGAGGGAGGGGATGGCAAAGAAACGAAGTGCGGCAGTCGCACACTGACGCATATTTTTGACCCAAAAAACGTGCCAAGTTGTTGACAAACAACAAACAGTGTCGACCCCAACCGGCTCTGTTCTGGTTGTGATTCTGTGCGCCTCCTGACAGTGCTAGCTTCCGTGTGCCTACATAATTCGCAACAGTGGCAGCGGCAGATGCAAATGCGCGACTCCCGGAGTCGTGCCCAAAGGCGCTTAACCCGCTTTCGGTGTCGGGTGTGGATGGAAAACAAGCGATGCGCAGCTTAGGCAAAAGTTTGTGTTTGTTTCATGCCACGCAAAAGTTACATCAAAGCACAAACAACAAAAAGGGGGCAGAGAAAATAACAAGTAATAGGATGTCGTATACGAGAAAACACTTGGCGACAATGTGACAGCCAGCCAAAAGCGTATCAAATTAAAATGGCACACAAACCCACACACACACACATACAAATATTTATACTGGTATGGCACGTAACAGCAGCAAGAGTCAATTAAAATTTCTATTTGATTTGGCAAATGTCAGTGGCAAGAGCGAACACACGGCTATCCAGCGCACAGACCATCCAGCATTTCCCAGTAGAGACGCCCAGACACCAGCATGTTCACCCACAGCGCTACTGACCAAATGCCAACAGCAGCCGGACGAGAGATGAAAATTGGCTACAGGTAGAAAGCAAACAATGGCCAGTGAACGTGTTCTGCAAATCGATTTCTCCTGGAAACGGTTGTGAACAAATATTTAAAATATTTATTTATTTCTTAGCAATCCCAAAAATATTATCTGGGCTTCGGTTCATGGCTCGAGTCAACTATAGGTTCGATTTGTGAACCAATTTTTCCCCATCCTTGAAGCCGGGTTCAAATGAAGCAAATTCCTGGTTCAAAACCATACGCAGACTTCGTGAGAACATTTTTTGACAGATTAATTTTCATCGATTTCGATAAGAGCCAAAACAAAAACTATATTAAAAGAAACTCCTTAATATTAATTGTAAGGATTCCATATATCTTCAATATAGATTTTTACAGAGTAATGGAAATATTATATGTTCAATATGCACTACTGTTGTGTAGCTGACGTTTATATGAATATTCTGAAGATGCAAGATTTTTCAGTTGGATAAGAGGCATATTTCGAGAACTTGGAAAGTTTTCTGGTTAATAAATTATCATTGTGTGTTTAACATTTTTGTCATATCCAAATCTCGCATGTCCAAACTAAATAAATTTTCCCGTGATCAACTGTAACTGATTTTGTTACACACTTTTATTGCTTAAAAGATTATCTGACTGTTAACAATTGCATTTTTCAATAAAGGTGAATCAAAACAAGAAACCAGAAAGGCAATTAAAATGTAAATTAAAAATTCTTTGATCTAAACATGAAATATACTTACTTACTTAGCTGTATATCCTACAAGTGAAATTATTGCGAAAATTTGTTGAAATTGTGGAGAAATCGTTATTGGAATCTCAAACACACCCACACATACTTACAAAAGAGCTGGGTGGGTAAACGAACTCAACTGCCAGACATTGCAAAAGATGAGCTGAAAGTAAAATAAACTGAAATTGAGTGCATATCGCAAGGGCAGGGACAAGTTTAAGTATTCAGAGCACAAAGACCGCATTTGACTGCTGACTGGACGAAGAACCCAGCACTATTGGTAGGTAAAACCAAAGGCAAGCATTATTTAATGTGGCCAAATGTTTGTTAATATGCTAGATAAGTTGACTTTTGTTGAATGGTCCCAGGAATAAAACGCACTTAAAACCTCGAACAGTAAATCAAATTGGCGAAAAACAAATTCCGAATGGCGCCAAGTCGCTGAATATAATTGCAATACTCATAAATTATGGGAAGAACAGATATTAAACAACAACAAGAATAACATGCATTGCGCACAAAAGCACAGAATTTATGATGTTATATATTTTTTCATAATTTTTTTTTACTGTTACCTGCAGCACATGCACACAAAACCAAAACCGAAAGCAAAATAACAACAGAAACACCCATAAAAGTTTACGGGTGCGTTAATAACAATGAAAATAAAAGCGCCATCTATGCGGCGAGCGTGGGAAACCGTTGCCCCAAAAAGTGTGCTACAATAACTTGAATTCAGAGAGCGTGCAATATTTGGATGCACCCGGTAATGCTTATTGCGTTAGCATGCAGTGGTATTATTTGGATGTGCACAATAAATTATCTAATATTACTAGACTTATTTAGTCAGCTTAAAAAAAATATTATTTCAATATTTATATTCCATTTATCTATTTCATTCAGGTTAAATGCGTTTCCATAATCATATCAATCATAGGAAAATACGTACAAAAACATATACTATACGAAACTAAATTATTTTAAAATTTAGCTTAATAAACTTTTGAGAACATCAAGACAAATTCGTCTTGGGACGAAATACTTGGGCGTTTTGTTGGCTTTAGAAGGGCGAACATACGAGCAAACGGACAGACAGCCAAAAATAGTACACTCTTATGAACAGAACATACAAGACATGCATAAAGCGTTCTTAACGATAACAAAAATTGTAGATAAACATTTCATAAGCTAAGTACTACATTTGAGTCCTTTATTAGTTTATTATTTTGGAAATTTCAGGATTTGAAAAAATGATATACTTTTTAGCAAAATATCAGTGGGAACGTTGGATGTCTTCACGAATCACTCGCTTTGCGCCATTTTTCCGCCTTCTGCTGTTGCGATTGCGCTTGTTGCCGCCGCGATAGGCGTTACCGCGTCTATTGTGGCGCCTATTCCCCTTGCGCCTGTTGCCATTACGTCTATTGACCTTGTTTGAGCCACTTCTGTTGCGGCGTTTGTTGGAACGCTTGCCGGCCCGACTATTTGCGGCGCGCGATTCGATCTGCTCCATGACCTCCAGTCCATCAATGAGCTTGGTTAGCTCATCCACGCTGGCATCATCCAGCTGATCCAGATCATTCTGGTCTTGCTCCAGCTGTGCAGCCTCATCCAGCTCATCTTCGACAATATCATCACCATCCTCGTCGTCTAGGCTGTATAGCCCATCGTTTTGGTAGTGCAGATCCTTGCTTTGCCTCAGCTGCTCTACTGGTCGAGGCTGTAGGGTCTTTGGACGCTCCGCCCAGGTAGCGCCAATGTTGAGCAGCAGCACAAGAGTGCAAAGTGTGAGGTACTTAAAAGACATGTTGGAATCTATTTGTTGCTCTGGTTGCTGTTTCACCGGCTTTTTATGGGAGTTCTGCCGCTTGACTGCCGGCGGCTGTGTCAACAGTTGCCACTGTGTGTATGTGTTTGGTTTAGCCAAGTTTGTTTGTCCCCTCCCCAAACACGCTGAACGAAAGTAGGCCCGCTTGCAACAGCAGCTTATCAGCAATGGCAAGCTGTAGGAAAAGTTATCAGGAAGCCCGCAACATTTTGACACCTTTTATTTATGCGTTAAGCAAATTTAAATTAGTTTTTATTGTTTACCAGACGTACAGGCCAGGCCAGGCCAGGCCACAACCGAGCTAAACTAATGATGCAATGTTTCAAAGTCACGTACACGAACGTTGGCAGCATCGTCGCCAGTTGCTGCCACAAACAAACAACAACAATAGCAACAACAACAAGAACCACTAAGAAACTTTTGTTGCCGCTGCTCTTTATGTTAATTTTAATTGTGGGCACGTACAAAAGGCGACAGCTACTGGGCACAACAGGCTACAAACTGCATAAATATGAAATTTGTATTTGGGAGTAGCTAGTAGATACATTTGTATCTAACACTCGCCCTACTGTAGATAAATTTGCTCGCACAAGGCCCGTTCATATACATATTTGCAAGAACTTGTGTATAATCACAAAATAGCAAGCACAAAGTGCGTATGGCAATAAATAGTTGTGTAATCAAGCACATATATTAAGTTGCTCAATAAGTTATGCCTAATGAATTGCAGTTGCGAGTTATCGTCATAAAATACAACTGTATACATGTTATGCATTTCTAAAGGTAAAATGCATAATAAAAGCAAAATGTTTTCGTACGTAAATTGCTCAAGAAACCTTTGATGAATTATTGAAGTCCTTGAATGAATATTAAGCATTTAAAGTCCAATTAGTTTTGAGTAAATTCAATGAATTAGACTATTGATTAACATTTGCGTTGCTTTGGAAACTTGGGGAAAACAGGACACAATCCGTGTCCAGGTCTGTGTACACACATACATAGACACGCACGATTGTGTTTTTGGGGAACGGAAACAGACCCTCACATATATTTACTTAGGCACAGAAGAGTTAGAGAGAGGAATAAAGTAAGAGCAGGAGGGGAAAAGAAAGAAAGAGGTGGCAAATCGTGTCAGAGGGAGAGTGGAAGAACAAGAACTAAAGTTAGAATGAAAGTAGAAGCAGAGATTACGTTTATTAGATTTGTAGGACATCGTGTTAATAAAACGTGAGAATCGCATAGTAGGGCGATATTAAAAAATGTATATAACTGCGTTTAGTAAACCATACATATGCTATACACAAACATACATGTACTCATGCATACATCTTTCAATTTTAACGTCAGATATTAGAAAATGAGTTTAATGCTGATCGAATGGCCAAGTTTTAACGTGCAGTTTACCTTCTTGTAATTATGGTTTCTGATGTGCACTGATCACCCATCGGTCATTCAATCAGATAGATTAATCAGTTTTATATATTTATATACATTTTTCTTTTTGTTGAGTTTGCGTTCGTTAACCTTAAATATTGACAACATTTTAGGTTGGCATTTTAAAATTGTACACTCTTCATTTACTTCCGTTTTCTAACTGCATTGTTAAAATATTTCCTTTGGGTTTTGTGAATTCTGATGCTATGCTTGCAACTGTCTCGTGTGACTTTATTTAATGTTCATGCAAGTTGATGCGATAGTTTTAACGTTCTCGTTTTCTGTTCAGGTCCCTGTTTGCCCTCATATTTCACATGCAACGATGGCTCTTGCATACCAATGCGCTGGAAATGCGATTCCGAACCGGACTGCAAGGATGGCTCTGATGAGACCAGCGAATGTGGTGAGTTTATCCCTGGACTAGCTATCGTTTTCCCCAGTTTCCACTGCTGCTGCTGCTGCTGTTGCCCATTTGCTGTTGATTGCTATATTATTGGTTTGACCGTTTGGCTGTAAACGTTTTGGGCTGGCTGCGCCTAATGACAGGTACTACTGGTCAACGCGCCACAAAATGCGTAAAAGCCTCTACCAAAAACACCAAATGCAATTAGTGGCCCATGTTGTCTGCTCCATGCCCTCCGGCTGCTGTGCACTTAGTCCACTGTAGGCTGAAATTCCGTTTTTGTTGTCGCTTTAATTCTAAACTCTGGCAAATGAATTTCCATTTGCTGTTGTGCTTTAAGCAAAACCCATACGGCTGTGCCAGCTCAGTCGTTCACCACAGCCCACCAAATTAATCTGTAGACATTTTGCGCTGGATGCCAATAAAAAGCAACAACAAACTTGAATCGGAGAACTGAGAAATGGCAGCGTTGACAACAACAGCATCTAGAACAAACGGAGCCACAGCTCTGGGCTGCATTGCAACAATTGCCAGCACATTCAACGCCACACTGTCCGGTTGCTGCAAACTTGGACTGTCTCTCAGTTGGCATTTTAATTTCATTTTATATTATAGATTTTTTTTTTTTTTGATGGTGGCAACAACAAGAATCGAGCACAGAGCTCACACAACGGGCGACAACAAGCAACAAACGACGTCTCTGACGACAAATTGTCGGCAAATATTAATGCAACAGATTATAATAAATGTGGCAGCCACTGCGTCCTCATCTACGTACCATGTGCCAAACTCCTCATGTTTTTCACACCATGTACTATCTCCTTTCTCTTTCACACTCTCTGTCATTGTCCCATCCACGCAATTTCAATTAAAGCTCACTGACTGCATCTGCACACACACACACGCACACATTTATACTTGCGTATATGTGGGTTTTTATATGGAGTACATCTCTTGATATATCGCATTTAAACTGCCTGCCACGCTGAAAAGTTTTTCAGGGGATTTGCACTTGCTCAAAATAAGTTTTATTAAATTTATGTGCAGCTTTTCATTTTGTTAACATTTAAATGCATTATATTAAAAAAAAAAACCTCAGCTCGAATAACAACTCGAACTCGGACAGATCCATATAACATGTATGTCAAATTTATCCAAGCATATTCCAAAAGCATTGACAACTGGTCGCGTAGAAACCGGTTAGAAATTTAACTATATAGGTATCGGAAGTCAGATTTATCTGAGGTTTCTATCAGCTACAAGATCGTAGCTTTATAGCATCAGCAACCAAGTTGTACTGTCTTACAAATCCGTATGTTATGTCAGAGTTAAGATATAAAATATAATTTATATTATTTTTTGTACTTTTACTTACCTTTAAGAAAAATATACTTCAACTTGTTATTCGATCTGATTATTAGTTTATTTATACTAATTAATATCTCACACAAGTATACTGATTCCCTAACTTAACTGCTTCAAATATCAAATTATTTTGTATATAAATTTTATTGCCAATATCGTCGTTCGCGTACCAGATAATTTCAGCTAACCTTTTTACAACTCTCCAGATAGCACCATAATGTTTAACAATGGCTTTATAATATTTTTTTTTTTACCAGTTTCGAGGGCCAAGTTGATTAAATAAGTGCCAGGACCCAGTTGACGCGTCAGGGACTTCACACAGTTGGTTCAATGTACTACTCGCTGGCCGAGACCTGTAACCATTTTTTGCTTTTGTTCTTTTGACATTTTTTGCCACCCCATCGAATCAAATAAAATGAAAATTTTAAATGTATACGAAGCATCTGCATGCCCTTGGGCTTATTAAATATTATACGGCACCAGCAGCAGTTGGGCTAAAACAATGGCCACCCACTGCCCCCCGTCGCCTGCCTAGCCATGTAAATTGGCACGCGGTTACGGCTGCGAGGGGTCCTTCTGTCTCTAGAGTTTAACCTCTTGGCAGTCCAAACATTTTATTCGGCCGTCCCATGTGTCGCCAACGTGGCTTTTATGGTTATAGCCAGGCGTGGATGCCGGCCACATTGCCATTGTAGCTGCCTTTGATTTTGACAACCGACTCGGGAGCAGCACGATATTTGAATTCTTTTTATTTTTCACAAAATATTTTCGCGTGACAATTTGCATTTTTTTAATATTGTCGGTAAGTTTAAACAAAACGTGTTGAAAATATGCTGGAAAACTTGAAACTTGCTCTCGACCCCATTCTGTTATGTATACTTTGAAGAGAGTAAAAATTAACAAACCTATTTCGAATTGAGCCACACAGAAGTATGCTACACGAAACTCTCCTAAATTAATACGTAATCGATATATCACATATTATACATATTACATGAGTCTGACCTTAAAATACAAAATACTGAAGTTTTTTGTATGCCTGGGTATGTTTCTGCACTGGATACTTACTTAACCGTTGACAGAAGGTCTTAGGTCGAAGAGATTCAGAATGCAGATCCAAAATATTTAAATTTTTCAAAAATCTTTGCTTTGTTTTTTTTTTATAAATTAATTAGAGTAATCACGGCGAGAGTGCCCGACTTGGGGATACCCTGAATCTTCTGATTTTTGCTTTTTGAGCTTGCAGCCAATACGTTTTCTTTAATCCGATTAACTGATCTTGACGACATTTTCATAAAATACTCGTATATTCGTATATACCTTGGAGACTAGCTTAACAAACGTCAAAAAATTGTATCATTTTAGACAAACAGGCAGACAAACATTGCACAAAACCCATATACTCTATAAAATGTTTCGTATTAGCAAGATAGAAGTCGTGAATAGTCTTTTGCATACACAAAGCCAATGAGCGGAATAATTATATCGCACATTAATACCAATTTTGAAACAAGGTTTCCAGGTTTCTTTTGTATATAACCCGCTACAATAGTTCGATCTGACTAAGCTGGCAAGCAAACAAAAATAGCTACGCAAGTGCCAAGTTTTCATTTAATCAGACGGATATAGCTTCATAAACTCGGATGTTGACACTAAGAGAATGTTCGAATTTGGAATAAAAACGAACTTAACTAGTTTAAGCGTTCTGGCAAAATTCTATATCTTAGCAGCTAAAGAATAAATTCACTAACTAAATATTCTTGTAGTTTAAACTATTTTGTTTAAGAGTACTTGAAACTTTGTCATGCCACAAATACTTACTTATGTAACTCAACCCACACAACGCCTCGAAAAGTCAACTTGTTATTTGCTTTACTTTGAGTTTTCGCAAAATAATTCAGTGATTTGTATAAAGGCACAGACAGGCATGCCCCAATAGAAGAGACCACCCTCCGAAAACCCCAACCATAACCAAAAAGCGAAAACCAGCGCAACCGCTAACAAACCCTTAATAAATCTTCATTTACGTTATTGTGGTTTCTGTTTGCGCTCTTTTGCAGCCAAGTCGTCCAAATGCAACGAGGGACAATTTCGCTGTGGCCAGAGCCTGAAATGCATACCCAGCAATTGGCTATGCGACGGTGAATACGACTGCGGCAAGGGGGACATATCGGATGAAACGAACTGTAAGTAGCCAAAATGTATGCACTATGCTTATTACCAGCACTAACCCCACACCCTTAACCTATTTGCTACCCTTTGACAGGTTCCGATAGCGTTGCACCCAAGTGCCGCGCCTTCGAATCCGAGTGCCACAACGGCGCCTGCCTCGAGCTGTCGCGGTTCTGCGACGGCCGCTGGGATTGTGATAACGATGAGCTGCAATGTGGTAAGTAAAAGTCAGTGCATAACAAATCCAGGGTTATTATCCTTATTTATAAACGCAGATAAACAAAATGTCGCCTGCGCTGCGCTCAACTGCAGCTACAATTGCAAACTGACGCCACAGGGTGCCCGCTGCTACTGTCCCGCCGGTCAGGTGCCCGAGTCCCTCAACTCGACGCGTTGTGTCGACTACGACGAGTGCAGCGTGCCGGGCACTTGTGATCAGCAGTGTCGCAATACACCCGGCTCCTATGAATGCGCCTGCATCTCCGGCTACACCAAGCATGGCAGCCAATGCCTGGCCATAAATGGTGAGCATTGCATCCAATCATGCCCACTTTATTGTCCACCCCACTAAACACATCCATTCAATCCATTTTTCAGTGCCACCCTCGGAGGCAGCGACTCTGTTATTTCTGTCCGCTGGCACGATTCGACGCCTCAAAACTGCCTTGGATGGTGGACCACTGCTGTCCACACAGCCGGTGCAGTTTATGCTCGCCTACGAGGTGTGGCATCGCAATCGAACGCTCTGCATGCTGCAGAAGATGCCCGAGTTGGTCATGCGTTGCCAGCGCATCGATGATGCGAACGTTAATTGGACGCTGCCCGTCTCGGCATTCAACTCGCCGCACCAAAGTGAGTTCCCATTCCGGTGTCCAGTGTGTGGCCATAATTTCTGCATTTGTTTGCTGATGTTTTTGCTTTTGCAGTTTTTGTCGAGCTGCGTTTGGACTGGATATCGGGCAATTGGTATTTCCTAAACGAGGACGACGGCATGGTCTATCTGTGCACCAATGCGGTCACCTTTTGCCGCCTCATACTGCAGCAGGTGGCGCAGCCATCTTCGCTGGTACTGGACCCCACCAAGGGCTATCTCTTTTACACAGATTGGTCACCCGGCCTGTCACGTGCCCTGCTGGACGGCAGTAATCGCACAACACTCGTCAGCACGCAAATTTATCATCTGAGTAGCGTTACATTGGATTTGGCCAGCGAGCATGTCTATTGGATTGATGTGTACAAGGATGTCATTGAGAGGGTCAACTATGACGGACAGCAGCGTTGGGCATTGAAAAAGTCACCAGATGTGAGTGCCTGACTCTTATATGTGTTGCATTTTCCATTTAAATGGACCCTTTAATGTCATTTTAAAAAGCGTAGAGATAAATTCGACATACGATAGAGAACTTATGCTTACAAATTTTGAGAAATTTTCATTAATTCCATTAACTATATTTATTTTGGATAAAAGAAAAAGAAAAGTTGGCAACTAGGTTTTGCTTAAAAAAAATAATATTTCAAAGTCAACTGAAACAGTTTACCAAATCAAAACATAAACTATCTTTTAGAGATAGATCACTGTTCGTGTCTTGTTTCTGAGTTTCTATGATTGATCAAAAACTAAATTATCCTATTTTTTTTAATAGATATTTTGCCCAAACTTACCAATTGCATATCAGATTCATTTATTCATTAACAGATTGAAATAGCATATAGCCCCTCGGAGCAAACTCTAAAATGATTAATTTGAACTTGTCGATTAATTGACATTTAAAATCATAATACAAGATCAGATTATAATATATGTTAACAAGGTTCGCTCCAATTTAAATTTTTCGTGATGACCAGCTAGTATAGCCATAGTAGTTGACTGAATTGTTTATACTTTAGCTTAAATTCAAATATTCTCATGAGCTAGTATAAACGGTTAAGTTTTTAAACAAAACCGCAAAAGCTCTTATCACAAAACCCATCGTTGTTTGCCATTGTTGTGTTTAACGCAATTTCCGTTGTTTGCAGTCGCCGGTGCCTTTGAAGACCATCCAGTCGGTGGAGGTATTCGAGAACACAATTTATTTGTCTGCCTGGACGGACAGAACCATCGTTGGCCTGGACAAATTTACGCTGAAGGCGCGCGTGCTGTTGGTGGATGTGACGCGTGGCACAAATTTTCGCATTTTCCATCGCCAAAAGCAGCCGGAGGTGGCGCATCCGTGCCGGGAGAACAACGGCAATTGCAACCAGATTTGTGTGCCGCTTTGGACGCGAGGATTTGCGAGCGCCAAGTGCCTGTGCACAGCCGGCTATAAATTGCACAATCAGACGACCTGTTTGCTCTCCGCGCACGATAAATTTCTGGTGTACACCGACAAGCGTTTGATTCGGATCACTGGCGTGCCGCTGGACACCGAGCAGGTGCAGCAGCTCGAACAACTTGGCGAGGAGCCCGATGTAATGGTACCCATTTACAATGTTACCGAACCGAAGGCCATCGATGTAAATGTGCGTGGCAAATCCATTTTGTATGTGGTACCCGACCCGGAGGCATCCCTCGGCTCCGTTGAGCACGTTTATTGTATCAAGAGCCAGTCCCTCAACGGCAGCGTATCGCGTACCCTGTCCACGGGCTGGCGCAAGGTGCGTGCCATTGCCTATGACTGGGTCAACGAGCATTTGTATTGGACAGAATATCAGAAACTGCATGTCGCTCCGCTGCGAAACATGAGCAAAGTTCTCACCTTTAACATTGATTGCAATCCCATGTAAGTAGATGCTCTCTATTGCATCTGACATTTGCCGTCTACTTTAACATGGCGTTCACAATGAAATATTTATTAATATATTAGTAACATTTTTAAATAATTGCTTATAATTGTAGTATAAAACATAGGACTTGAAAGGGGTATTAACTTTAAAAGTACTGCAAAAGAATAAAGAACATTACGAATTCGAAAATAAAATAAATAATATTCGCTTAAAAACAAAATATTGAGAGTGAAAACTTTTTTCTTCTCTATATTAGTAAACTTAACTATATTTTTATTTTCTTTTCATTTTTCGGATTTTTTTTTTATATTGTAGAATCTTAAAGGAAAGTAAAATTTGTCGATTGCATAAATACTTATATTTTATATTTCCTGAAGTTGTAAAGATTAGAACAACACATTTGGTTCAGCTTAAAAAGTACCTACACATTTTTAATTTAAAATAAATTATTATTACATAGTTAAAAACCCTACTAAACAAGATCTAATCAATTCTCCAGGTCACTGGAGCTCGATCCCGGCACTGGGCTACTCTACTGGACGCAGTGGTCGTTTCAGTCGTGCGAAGCGGGTATCTACAGCGCCTGGATGGATGGCACACACAAGGAGCTGCTGGCAAAATCGTCCGAGGAGCTGGCGATGCGTTGGCCGCGCAGCTTGGATGTGGATAGACGCACCAAGCGTATCTATTGGTGCGACTCTAAGCTGGGCACCATCGAGCGCATGAAATTGGATGGCACTGGGCGCGAGCTGCTTTTTAAGTCGGAGCAGTTTCATCCGTTTGCCATAGTGCAGTACAATGAAATTGTGTACTGGGTGGATAATGTCAACTCGACCATTTGGCGGTTTCCTGTGCGTCATGTCCATAAGACAAGCACCTTTAGCTCCACGGTGCATCTGCAGCCCAATGGCAACGCGCTCGACTTGCGCATCTTTGATGTGGCCACGCAACCGTTGCCGCAAACGCCCAGCTCCTGTGCGCTGTCCAAGTGCCCTGGCATGTGCCTGAACACGCCCAAGGGCGCAATCTGTCGCTGCCCGGATGGCTATACGCTGAATGGCACTGGCACCCATTGTATACCACAGCTGACGCCATCAACGGTGTCAGCGCCTGTTCGTTCAAATTGCACGTCGGGCTATCAGTGCCGCGGCACGCTGCAGTGCATCGACGGCAAGGATCTGTGTGATGGCTTTGAGGACTGTGAAGATGGCAGCGACGAGACCAACGACACGCAGGGTCCATGCAACCCGCAAACCTGTGATAAAAAGCTCCACTTTGTGTGTAACGGGCGTTGCTACCAGCGTGCTCTGCTGTGCAGCTCCATCGCCTACTGCTCGGATGGATCGGATCAGCAGAACTGTGAGCACAATACCTGCAACAGCAACGAGTTTACCTGCGAAAAGAGCGGACGCTGCATTCAGCTTACATGGGTCAACGATGGTGTCATCGATTGTGGACCCGATGATTCCTCCGATGAGTCATTGGACCTTTATCCTGGCAGCAAGTGTCCGGAGTATGACTGTGGCAATGGGCGCTGTCGACAGTTTTCCGATATCTGTGATGGCTTGGACAATTGCGGGTAATTTGCCAGCTATATATGATAATGTATAATGTTTAAAAGTGGTTCCTTGAGAGACTAGTGATCAACGAGTACCCCAAAGCGATGCATAGCTGAATTTTTATTTGGGGAAAGTGGTCACTAAGATTAGTTTTTGAAAAGTTCATCCAAGTGGAAGGAAACTGTGATCAACAATTGGATGGTTAGAAAATCCACCGCGTCGAGTGGATAATGGGTGGGGAAAAATGAAACTCACTTGTAGATTAATGTGTAATGTTATGTCTTCTTAGACTCATACATACTTCCTCTTATGTTGACCTTGTTTACATTTTGTTATTGCAGCAATAATGCAGATGAGGCTGCCTGCGAGCACGAGTGCGGACATGGAGAGCGTTATTGTCGCCCCATTGGCTGCTATGGCGATATGCACATATGCGATGGGGTTAACGATTGCGAGGACTTTAGCGATGAGGCTAACTGCAACCAGACCAAGAGTGACAATCATCCACTCAGCGGCTGGAAGGAGCTCGGCGAGTGTGCAACCTTTGAGTTCGCCTGCGCCGATCCCTTCGAGTGTATACCGGAGTTCCTGCGCTGCGACGGCATCAATCATTGCTATGACAAGACGGACGAGCTTAACTGCACTCATATGCATCCGACCAAGTTTGACATGAACGAGACGGTCATTTGCGAACATCCGGATCGGTTGTGTGGCTTCAGCAACAAGTGCATTACTGTTAGCCAGCTTTGTGATGGCAACAACGACTGCGAGGATACCACAGACGAGGGCTTTCTTTGCGCTGATGAGCTATGCGAACAGGGTCATGAGTGTTCCCACAACTGTCACAATACGCCCGAGGGTTACATCTGCTCATGCCCGCCACATTTGTATTTGCAGCCGAATGGCAAACGCTGCAGCATGCAGCACGCTTGTGAGCATTGGGACACCTGCTCGCAGGTGTGCGAGAACAACGGCAAAGGCTATGCCTGTCAGTGCCTCGAAGGCTACGACCTAGCCTATGACAAATTCACGTGCAAGAGCACAGCTCCGGATGAGCCTTATGTTATATTTACCAATCGCCAGGATATACGTGGCATTAATCTTAAAACATTGGGCGCCAGCAGCTTCTATAGCTCGCTGCGTAATATCATCGCTTTGGACTTTCTCTACAGCAACGAGTCCAGCGTGGATATTTTCTGGACAGATGTCATCGATGATAAAATCTATCGCGGCCAATTGGTGGGCGAAAGTTTGCGAAATGTAGAGGCCGTGGTGCATTCGGGTTTGTCCACCACTGAGGGCTTGGCTGTAGACTGGATAGGCAAAAATCTTTATTGGATCGACTCAAATCTGGACCAAATTGAAGTTGCCAAGCTGAATGGCAGCTTTAGGAGAACTTTAATTGCGGGCAACATGGAAAGTCCACGTGCCATTGCGTTAGATCCACGTGAGGGTTTGCTGTTCTGGACCGACTGGGATGACAATTCGCCGCGCATCGAACGCTGCAGCATGGCGGGTGAGGGCAGGCGCATAATCTCTACCAGCTGGCAGCTGAGCGCCGGCTGGCCCAATGGCCTGACTTTAGACTATACTCAGAAGCGCGTCTACTGGGTGGATGCCAAGTCGGATTCAATAAGCAGCACTAAATACGATGGCTCCGAGCATCATGTGGTGCTGCGCAACAAAGAGATACTGTCCCATCCGTTTGCCATCTCTGTGTTTGAGAACTACGTATACTGGACGGACTGGCGCACCACGTCTGTGATACGCGCCAATAAGTGGAATGGCAGCGATGTGCAGGTGCTGCAGCGCACACAGACCCAACCGTTTGGCATACAAGTGCTGCACTCGAGTCGCCAGCCCTGGGATCGGAATCCTTGCGGTGACAACAACGGCGGATGCTCCCATTTGTGTCTGCTGAGCGGCAGAAGCACTTACAAGTGCGAATGCCCGCATGTGATGCGCCTGGATCCGGCTGATGAGCGAAACTGTGTGCCCAATGAGCAGGTGCTGCTCTTTGTCATGGGCGAGGAAATACGTGGCATTGATTTACTACAGCCAAATCATCATACCATACCCACCATACGACAGTCACCCAGGGTGAGAAGCAGACTTTTCTATCTAGAAGATTTAATTATTCTCTTCATTATCCGTTTTTCTACTTAAGCTTGTGGCACCGCAACGCATTGACTTTCTTGTGGAGGACAGTCACATCTATTGGTCCGATATACAACAGAACGAGATCTCCAGAGCGGGCATATCCAATGGATTGATTGAGCCCATTATTAATACGAATATTGAGAAGCCCTATGGCTTTGCCATCGATTGGATTGCCAAGCACATGTACTTCTCCTCGGGTCAAATCGTTGGCACCATACTCGCCAGCAATCTCAAGGGCGAGTATACCACACATATTCATGAGAACCTCAATATGGTCGACAGCATTGCCTTAGATCCAGCCAAGTAATTAATCCTATACACATACAACAATTGCAGTTTTTAATTAATTTTTCATTCTCTTTTTACAGTGGGAAAATGTATTGGATACATTCCACTCATGACTCCACGCTGTGGCAATTGGAACAATCGAATCTTGATGGTTCAGAGCGACTGGTTATACACGAACACAACAATAGCATGCAGAGTTTGACCATGGACTTCGATTCGCAACGTTTGTATTATGCATACGACAACTCGGGCATTGCATACTACGATATACCCAAAAATGAGACACACATTGTGCTGTCCGCCAGCCCAATCACATCAATCAGCTCCCTCACTGTCTACAATGGCACCCTGTACTTTCCAGAGAACATTCAAAGCGTCATCATGCACTGCGAGAAGGAGCAGTGTTTGAATATGTCCTTCTTGCGAGTTAATACAAGTATGTATTGCTGAAATTTTTTACAAGCGCTGTTATATCCTTGTAGAAGATGTTACGATTTTGCCAAGAAATGTTTTACACGTTAAAGTATAAATCTTATTCTGGGTTAGCATCAATAGCTGTTCCGATATAGTCCTGTATATCCGCTAGTCTGGTGTTTTCCTATGGAATCGGATAACTATATCATATAGCTTTCATAAGAGCGATTTTCATCTGTCTACTATACATATCTCAGAGGAACAATTGGGTAAAATTAAGTTGACATAAGAATGTTTTGTTTTCAGCAAGATATCTTACATATCTTATTAGTTCAGCATATAGTAATTTAGTAAATTGGCCTTTGGCTAAGACAACGCTTTATCCGTTTATAAATGAAATAAATTATTAAAAATATTTTGAACAATGCCCCAGATCAGATTATCTCAATTATTCTTCGAAGACTTGAGTAAGCATTTTGAGAAATTGGCTTATCATCTCAGAAAATTAATACTTTAATAATAACTAATTGAGTATTCAAAATTACTTAATTATAATATTTCACAAGATATTAATTCCTCTTGTTTCCTATTAATTATCGTTTTTTTTTATACTTAATTCATTTTCATTTTGCAATTTGTAGAGAGCATTCAGAGCATGAAAATGTTCTATGCAGATGCCCAAACAGGAACCAACACCTGCGCTGGCCCCATGCGAGGCGGCTGCGAGCAGCTATGCCTGGCCATATCATCCACAGATCATGTGTGTCGTTGCGCTCTGGGCTATGATGTGGAGCCCAACAATCCGACACGTTGCATACCACGCGCTGAATTTATATTCTATTCGATTGATGTGATGCAGGGTGTGGAAATGATTGATCCTAGTGAACAGTTTGAGACACCTAAACCGGTATGGAATTGTATTGCACACATTGAACACAAATTCAATTTACTTTTTCTAATCTATTTAGGCGCTTGTGCCGATCTCCCGTATAAGCTCGGCGAGTTTTATTGAGTATCACGCCGCTACAGATATGCTTTACTGGGGCGATAACGAATTGGGCAGCATCTCGCGCGTGCGCCGTGATGGCACACACCGTGAGACCATACTGGAGGCCATCAATCTGGCTGGCTATAAGCAACAGGATTGGTTAGGTGGCATTGCCATCGACTGGATCGCGGGCAACATTTACTGGAGCGATACGAAGCGTAACATAATTGAAGTATCCCGTCTGGATGGCAGCAATCGGTATGTGGTTGTTGCCAATGTAGACAAGCCCACTGCATTGGCTGTGGATCCAGTTCAGGGTCTGCTGTTTTATGTAACTCAACTGCACATTGGACGCACCGGCCTGGATGGCAGTCAGCCCTTTGTGCTGGTCAACCAGACGCGCACTAATTGGTCTGTAAGCAGTCTAATTGTGGACATGGATGCTACCAAGGTTTATTGGTGTGAAAGATATCCCGATGCGCTAATGAAGGTGGACTACGATGGCAACTTGCGACAGGAGCTCCTAAATGATACGGCCAACAAGCCAGTGGCATTGGCCAAGCTGGGAGATTACCTATATTGGGCGGAGAATACGTACAATGAAGGTGCCATTAAGGTTGCACCGTTGACCAATCTCTCCCAATCACGACAAATACTCAAAACCGAACAGGATGCCATCAGAGATCTTAAGATTTACTCGAAGCGTGTGCAACACGGCACTAATCCATATGCCCAAAACAACGGCGGCTGCGAGCAGCTCTGCCTTTTCAATGGCACCAGCGCTGTTTGCGCCTGCGCGCACAGTCGACTCGCCGCGGATGGGTTTAGCTGTGAGCCGTATGAAAACTTTCTGTTGTTCAGCTATCGCAGCAACATTGAGAGCATCCACATGACGGAGCACGCCAACAAGAACTGGCCCGTGCAGCTCATCTCGAACGGGACGCTGATGCGTAATGTGGTGGCCATCAGTTATAACTACGAAGCGCAGCTCGTTTACTACTCAGATGTCCAGCTGAGCACCATCAATCAGGTGCACTTCAATGGCAGTGGTCAGCGTGTGCTGGTTATGCAGCAGGGACGCGTTGAGGGTCTGGCCTATGATATGGTTAACGCTCAGCTCTTCTGGACATCCAACAATGATGCAGCCATTCGCAGCCTTGAGCTGATACATCTGTCGCAACAGGCCGAACAGAATCTGCAGCATGTGCGCAATGTCTTGAGCTTGCATAGCAAGGACAAGCCACGGGGCATATCCGTGGAGCCGTGCCTGGGAATGATCTACTGGACCAACTGGAACGAGCAATCGCCCAGCATACAGCGCGCTTATCTGACCGGTTATGGCGTGGAGCGCATTATACGCACTGATATCAAAATGCCCAATGCCCTAACCCTCGACCTGGAGCAGCAGCAACTGTACTGGGCCGATGCGCGACTGGATAAGATTGAGCGGGCCAATTATGATGGCACCAATCGGGTGGTGCTCGCCCATACGACGCCTAAACACGCCTTCGCCATGGCCGTCTATGGAGACCTGCTGTTCTGGACGGACTGGGTTCTGCACGCTGTGGTGCGTGCCAATAAATACACGGGAACGGATGTGCTCTTCTTACGCGAGCACGTGGCCCGACCCATGGGCATCATAGCGGTGCAGAACAGCACAATCAATTGCGACGCAAATCAGTGCAAAATACTCAATGGCCTGTGCGAGGATGTGTGCATCCTGAACAAGAACGGATTGGCCAGCTGTCATTGTACACAGGGCGTTTTGGCTCCGGATGGTCGGCGTTGCATTGCACCCGTGAACACGAGCTGCGGCAAGTCGCAATACAATTGCCATTCGGGCGAGTGCATACCCCTGGAGCTGACCTGCGACAATGTAACCCACTGTCTGGACGGCTCCGATGAACTGCGCAACTATTGTGTCATCCGGCAATGTCCGGAGAAGTATTTCATGTGCCAGAATCATCGCTGCATTGCCCAGGACCAGACCTGCGACGGACTGCAGCAGTGCGGCGATGGCAGCGACGAGACCGCTCTTCTTTGCAAGTGCCAGCCGGAGCAGTTCCGTTGCGGCAGCGGCGAGTGCATCTCGCGCAGCTTTCTCTGCGACCATATGCGCGACTGTCGCGATTTCAGCGATGAGAAGCACTGCCCCCAGAGGACTTGCGAGCAGGGTGACGTCTTATTTGAGCACTGCGAGAATAGCACCCTTTGCATTATGCCCACCTGGCGCTGTGATGGCGAACCGGACTGTCCCGATGGCACCGATGAGCTGGGCTGCAGCAATAATACACTCTCCACCTGTGCAATGGGTCAGTTCCGTTGTGCGAATGGACGCTGCATTCCAGCTGGTTGGCGTTGTGATGGCGAAAACGATTGTATGGATAATGCCGGCGAAAATGGCAGCGATGAGCTGAACTGCCGTCCCAGCTGTCTGGTGAATCAGTTTAGCTGCGACAATGGCTGCATACCCAGCAGCTGGCAGTGCGATGGCAAAAGCGATTGCGAGGATGGCACCGACGAGGGCCCGCAGTGCCCAAATCGTCCGTGTCGCGCCCATCTGTTCCAGTGCAAGAGTTCGGGTCGTTGCATACCCCAGAAATGGGTTTGCGATGGCGAGCAGGATTGCCCTAGCAGCGGGGATCAGGGCTCCGAGGATGAGGGACCGCACTGTGGTGGCGTTGCCCACATACCCGAATGCCAACCACCAGCGTTCCTCTGCACCACTGGTAAGTTTTAACTAATTACGTTTTTATTAATTCTAAATATATTATTAACTTAAATGTACTTGTTAATCACAGGTCAATGCATAGATTCACACTATGTGTGCGATGGCGACGAGGACTGCCCCGGCGGCGATGATGAGTACGATGGCTGTGAACCGGTCTATCCACCGCACGCCTGCCCAGGCGGTTCCTCGATGCACCAGTGCCAGGATGGCCTGTGCATCTTTAAAAACCAAACCTGCGATGGCAAATCCGACTGTGGCGATGGCTCCGATGAGCTCCCATCGCTGTGCAAGCATACGCGCGCTTGCAATGGCGCCGATGATTTTCGGTGCAAGAATGGGGCCTGCATCAGTGCGGATCTGTTATGCGACAGGCGCAACGATTGTGCGGACTACTCGGACGAGGAACTGTGCAATGTGAACGAGTGCCTCATACCGGATATCTGCGAGCATGAGTGCGTGGACAAGGTGGTGGGCTTTGAGTGCCGCTGCCGGCCCGGCTACAAACTGCTGCCAAAGAGTCCGCATCTGTGCACTGATATCGATGAGTGCGACGAACAGCAGCCCTGCTCCCAGACCTGCATCAATACGTACGGCTCGTACAAGTGCCTATGCGCCAAGGGCTATGAGCTGCGCGATCATCGCACCTGCAAGGCGACCAGCAATGTGACCATGAAGCTCATTTTCTCCAATCGCTACTATATCCGGCAGGTGAATCACACGGGTAACGGCTCCATACTCATAAATGCGCTCTCCAATGCGGTCGCCTTGGATTTTGACTGGGATAGTCAGTGCTTGTATTGGTCAGATGTCACCAGCACTGTGGGCACCATTAAGCGCCACTGCCCGGTGGAGAACAAGACCCAAACTCTGCATCAGGCCATGCTGAAGAATCCAGATGGTCTCGCCGTTGATTGGGTGGCCAAGAACTTGTATTGGTGCGATAAGGGCTTGGATACCATTGAGGTATCCCAGCTGGATGGCAAGTACAGACGTGTGCTCATCAATGAGCAGCTGCGTGAGCCGCGCGGCATTGCCCTGGATCCCTACCAGCGTCACATTTACTGGTCCGACTGGGGCGACAATCCGCATATTGGCAAGGCGGGCATGGATGGCTCACAACCGCGCATGATCATACGCGAGAATCTGGGCTGGCCGAATGCCCTGACCATCAGCTTCGAGACCCAACAGTTATTCTGGGGCGATGCCAGAGAGGATACGATTTCGGTCAGTGACTTGGATGGCAATCATACGCGCCTGTTGCTCGCGCGCAGCATCAATCCGAACCTTAATCTGCATCATATATTTGCCATTGCCGTGTGGGAGGATCGCATCTATTGGTCCGACTGGGAGACCAAGTCGATTGAGTACTGCAACAAGTTCGATGGCCAGAACTGTTCCACTCTGATAACAACCATACACAGACCCATGGATTTGCGTGTCTTCCATCCGTATCGCCAGCAGCAGCCCATCAGCGGTAATCCCTGTCTGCAGGCCAACTGCTCCACACTTTGCTTGCTGTCACCGGAAGCGCCTTACTACAAGTGCGCCTGCCCCAACAATTTTGTGCTCGCCGAGGATGGACGCACCTGTCGCGCCAACTGCACTGCGGCACACTTTGAGTGCGTGAATACGTACAAGTGTATACCCTTTTATTGGCGCTGTGACACGCAGGACGATTGCGGGGATGGCAGCGATGAGCCCGAGACTTGTCCACCCTTCCACTGCGAACCGGGCCAGTATCAGTGCAGCAACAAGAAGTGTATACATCCATCGGCCATTTGTGATGGTGTCAATCAGTGTGGCGACGGCTCCGACGAGCTCAACTGTGATAAGTTCACCTGCTTTGAGAACCATCTCAAGTGCGAGGCAACCGCCAACAGTTCCGCTTTCTGTGTGGACAGTGTGAAGCGTTGCGATGGCGTCAAGGATTGCCCGGGTGGCGAGGACGAGGCCGGCTGCACGCCGCTTGTCTGCAAAAAGGATCAATTCCAGTGCGGCAACAATCGCTGCATGCCTTATGTCTGGGTCTGCGATGGGGATGTCGATTGCGCCGACAAATCCGATGAGACGAATTGCGAACACGTTTCCTGTGGACCCAACGATTTTCAGTGAGTCCATTTAAACCTTGGTATCAAACCATGTCATTAAAAACCTTTAACTCTTACAGATGCAATTCGGGTCGCTGCATACCGCTCGCCTGGCGCTGCGACGACGAGGTGGATTGCCCCAACGGCGAGGACGAACCGCCCAGCTGTCACACTTCAAAAGCCACCTGTGATCCCACATACTTCAAGTGTAACAACTCCAAGTGTATACCCGGACGTTGGCGCTGTGATTATGAGAACGATTGCGGCGATGGCAGCGATGAGCTCAATTGCCAGATGCGCAACTGCTCCGAGAGCGAATTCCGTTGCGGCACCGGCAAATGCATCAAGCACGATTTCCGCTGTGATGGCGAGATCCACTGCGACGACAGCAGCGACGAGATCAACTGTAACATCACCTGCAAGCCCAATCAGTTCAAATGTGCTGCATTTAATACCTGCATTAACAAGTAAGTTTAGCTTTCTTTTTGAACCAAAGCTAAAGCTGCCTCGTCCAGGGTCAAGGCTGGTTACCTCTTACAAAAACTATTTCGAAAACCTTACGATTCCATTATAAGCAACGCTTATAACGCTTCATGCGAAGACAACCAGCTAAGCGAGTCTTTGTCTTCTCTTTTAGACAATATCAATGTGATGGTGATGACGACTGCCCCGATGGTTCCGATGAGGTTAACTGCACATGCCCGCCGGATCACTTCACCTGCGGCAATGGCAAGTGCATTATGTCGCGCTGGAAGTGCGATGGCTGGGACGATTGTCTAGATGGCAGCGACGAGAGCTACGGCACCTGCGCCCATGTCCATTGCCACTACAACGCCTTCAAGTGTGCCAATCTGCTTTGTATACGCAAATCGGCGCTTTGCGATGGCGTCAACGATTGTGGCAACAACGAGGATGAGTCGGATCAAGTGTGTGCCGCGCTGCCCAAGTGCCGGCACGATCAGTTCCAGTGCGAGAACGACGACTGCATCTCGAAGAACTTCCGCTGTGATGGGCAATACAATTGCATTGATGGCTCCGATGAGATGAACTGTCAGCCCCCCGTCTGTGGATTTGGCACATGCTCACAAATTTGTATTGAGAAGAAGGCGGGCCACTACAATTGCAAATGCACGACGGGCTATCACAAGGGTGCGGCCAAGAATGCTACGTGCTTGGCATCTGGGCCGGATCAGATCCTGCTGTTGGCGTCGGAGCAAGAGTTCCGCTTCATATTGCCCGCCAAGCAGGAGGGCACCACTGTCGTTGGCTTCTTCCAGACAGATAGCCTAAAGATTGATGTATTCGACATACTCATCAGACCAAAGGACACGCTTCTCTTCTGGATTGATTCGCATCATGGCAAGGTGCATACCATGAAAATTGCCACGCCCCACGTGGAGGGTACGGGCGTACGTGTGCGTCGCGATCTCAAGGAACTAACTGCATTCAATGTAAGCCAACCGGGGTTTCCAAATTTAGAATCTAATTATTTAATATCCTCTGTGCAGATACCCGATCTGGATGATCCCAAGTCCTTGGCCGTGGATTGGATAACTCAAATGGTTTACATCGTTGACTCGCGTCACAATCAAATCATAGCCACTGACATTGAGGGCAAGAAGTACATCTCACTGGTGTCCACGGGCATGAATCCTACGGATATTGTGCTCGAGCCGGAGTCCCGTGTCATGATTTGGTCCACCCTAGAGAATGGCATATTGGTGGCCTCATTGGACGGCAACAACAAGAAGAGCCTTGTGGAGCGCGATGTCGGCTGGCCAATTAGTCTCTCGATAGACTATCCAACGGGCCGCCTATATTGGGCCGATTATCGCAAGGGCACAATCGAGACGTGTCGCTTGAACGGCAAGGATCGCAATGTGGTGCGACGCTTTGGCAATCGCGAGAAGCCGCAAAAGATCGATGTGTTTGAGGATTATCTGTACATCAAGCTGTACGATCAGAGCATCATTAAGATGAACAAGTTTGGCAATGACAATGGCACCTACTTGCTAAAGGGTTACCGCTCCTCGGACATTGGTATTCTGCATCCCATGAAACAGAATCGAAATAGTGAGTGTAAAACTCTGATCACACCATTCGAACCATTATTAAGATTACTTAAAACTTTTTCTAGTAAGCAATCCGTGTGCCAAGGAACCCTGCAAAGCGTTGCGCGCACTTTGTATACTCTCGACGGAATCGGCCAGTGGCTACAGCTGCAAGTGCCCCAACGAATATGTGATGACCGAGGAGGGCGTTTGCAAGGCACACACTGATATACCCAATTACTGTCCGCTGCTCTGCAATCTAGGCACATGCCAGGTGGTGAACCACGTGCCCAAATGCATTTGCCAGCCGCAGTTTGAGGGCGAACTCTGCGAGCATTACCGCTGCTCTGGCCACTGTCTGAACTATGGCCTGTGCACGGTAGCGCCACAATTACCAAGATTGCAGGAGCCTCCGCCGCTCAAGTGCACCTGTCCACCCAACTGGTCAGGTGCGCGTTGCGAGGTTTCCGTCTCTGATTGCCAGAGCCGCTGTCACAATGGCGGCTCGTGTCTGGTCTCCGAGACCGAGGGCATGAAGTGCAGCTGCCCAGACATGTATGTGGGTGACCAGTGCGAGCACTGTCTGAATCTGACCTGTGAGAATGGTGGCATTTGCCGTGAGACTCTCACTGGCGCACCACAATGCGAGTGTCCCGATGGCTATACGGGCAAACGCTGCGAGTTTAATGAATGCGCCGATTTCTGCAAGAATGGTGGCACCTGCAGAATTGGCGCCAAGGGACAACGCCAGTGCAAGTGTCCCAGGGGCTACTATGGTGAACACTGTGAGGCGAACTCGTGTCGCGACTTTTGCCAGAATGGCGGCACCTGTACGGATCGTGGCCACCAGCTGACCTGCACCTGCCCCACACGCTACATTGGCGATCGCTGTGAATCCGATCTGTGCAAGACCTCCATACCGCCACGCTTTTGTGATGTCTCTCTGCTGCCATCGCGCAATCCCTGTACTGGCATCATTTGTGAGAACTCTGGCACCTGTCATGTCATCAAGGGCATCGCCATGTGCAACTGCACAGATCAGTGGAACGGTGAATTCTGCACGATGCCCGTGGGCGAGGATAATCCCTGTGTCCACTATTGTGCCAATAGTGGTGTCTGCCACCTCAATGAGTACACGCTGCCGCACTGCACCTGCGTTGGCGAGTGGCAGGGTGATTTCTGTGAACTACCGCCGCATTGTGTCGGCGAGTGCAGCGTCTGTCGGACGGGCAGCTCCATCAATGAGTGCTTGTGCGACAACAAACGGATTGTGCCCTGCCTGGCTGAAAGCGCTGTGGCTTTGAGTGGAGAACAGGAGCGTAACGAGTCCGCCAGTTGGGTCTCCGTGCTGGCGGTCATCTTAGCAGTGACCACATCGGTGCTGGTGCTGTTCGGCGGTGTCGTTTACTTCCTCAAGTAAGTTAACACTTGAAACGGGCAAACTGTTCCAAACTGTTCTCTAATCTTCCATCTGCTTGCAGAAAACACCGCATTGCGCAGCCATTTTCACATGCTCGCCTCACCGACAATGTGGAGATCATGCTAACTAATCCAATGTACCGCGGCGATGCCGACGAAGCGCCGCCCTTCGCTCACGAAGATGATAAGGTAATGCCCTGCAGCTTCCATTGAGGAAACAGAAATAATTTATTTCCCATCTATTTGCAGGGAAACTTTGCGAATCCCGTCTACGAATCAATGTACGCTGATGCCATAGCGGAACCAGCCATTGCAGAAATATCGCACAGCACGGCGCCAGATGAGAGGAAGGGTCTGTTGCAGCACACGCACGACGAGACGCACACGCCGGATATACTCTGATGATTGAGCCATTTCAGTCATGATCGGGAGCTGTGCTAAGCACAGCCACAGATTGTTGTACACTTAAAACACATACTCTAGCACACATTTAAATCCAAATGCAAACCGACTTGAATACGAACAATGGACTGATAGCGTAGCCATATTACGAATTTTGTAAACATTTTGTTTCCTTTTTTTTGTGTTGGGTGGGGGGACGGGAGGGGAGTGCGGCCCTACCAAAGAGCGCTAAACCTAATATGCAACTGTGGCGTCTCCTTGCTCCTTGTCTAATGTCCTTAAGAATGATGTCCTTATACTATAACTTATAACATTTCTTGTCATTCTTTTTGTTTAAGCGCCTTTTCTAATTGTCGCAAAGTTTACAACAAATTTGCCTTCCCTACATATTGATTTAATTTTTAAAAACACGTATTTGTGCATTTGTAAATTTTGTAGTTCGTAGACTTAGTTAAAGTTCACGTGCAGCTAAACGAAACTCAATTTTTGTAAATATTTTTTTTAATATAACGCCCAATGGCAGCCTAGTTAACATTTAAATCAAGCACTAAACGTTTTGCCAATTAGTGAAAAATATTGATATTTAAACGAATACAAATTAGCAATCAATTGTAAACGAAAGCTAATGTTTTGAAATTAAACAGAAACATGTAAAATGCATTTAAATTAATTTATTAATTGATCACAAGCAATTTTAACGCACAAAACAACCAAACCGAAAACAAGAACCAGAAAACGACACACGACAGAAATTATAACGAACAAATTGCATAGTCTAAATAGCTTAAGGAACATTTAAAAATATATATATATATCTCTTCCGATATGCATAACTATATTATATTACATTATTTAGTTTGTCACTTTTTAACGCAATCGAACGAACGAAACGATATTCTGTATAAAACATAATGCTCAGTCAAAAGCCAAATTTTAACATATACAATGTAAAAATTTAATAACTATAGCGTATACATAATAAATGATGTATGTTAAGCCAAGTGCAAAACGTTTAAAAACGTTAGATGTGCACAAAATACACATTCAAAAGCAATTGTAAAAATAAATAAAAATTAATTTCAAAAATTTTATTCAATATTAATGGGAGATTATGAAAGAATGCTTATGCTTACATTCAGCAGTTACGTATAAATATATGGATGTGTTAACTGAAGAAAAGCTCGCATTTTATGGTGATTTTTTTGGATGTTGCTGGTCAATAAAAATCTGTGCCACATTAAAACTACTAAGAAAGATTTTAAATAAAATGGTTTTTCTCATACCATCACAAAATTCAAACTACTATCTTATATAACCCGGCCTTGCCCGTGGCACGTATGTTATAAAATCAAAGTTTTCTAAAAGCTTTGAAAATGATTTTGAAACTGATCGGACGGGAATCAAACAAACTTAAAATTCACCAAAAAAAACTTTGAAATGCATTTTCCACCGAAGGAGTTTAGATTTTGCGAGAAATGTGAAACACGTCTCTAATGATTTTTCTTATAGATCTTTGGAAATAAATTTGAACACAAAACGTCATCCACCAAATCTTCGACCCCCATTTGCACCAAGGAGGGATGGATTTTTCAAAAAGTGTGAAACACCCCTCAAATAAATTTGACCATAGATCTTTGAAAATTAGTTTGGGGCCGATCGGATGGTAAACAAAAAACTTTCATACAACCGATTTCCGCCAATTTACCACTGTTGCGGGTGGAATTTTCCAAAGCGTCGAAATACGTATTCATTAAGTTCTTATTGAGAGCTTTGAAAATAAGTTTGAAGCAAATCGGACACAACTTAAAACTTCGCACAAAAAATCTTTAAATCGCATTCCCCACGAAGAAGTTCGAATTCTGCGAAAAGTGTGAAACACGTCTCAAATGATTTTTCTAATAGATCTCTGGAAATGAATTTGAGTGCGAAACGTCACCCACTAAATCTTTGACCTCCATTTCCACCAAGGAGGAATAGATTTTTCAAAAAATGTGACACACCCCTTAAATGAATTTAAGCATAGATCTTTAAATATGAATTTGGGGCCGATCGGATGATAAACAAAGAAGTTACATACAAACGTTTTTCGCGATTTTTCCACACTTGCGAGTGGAATTTCCCGAAACCCCGTCTTAACGTGCACCTACATCACATAAGGTAGCTACAGTGAAAATTTCAGCTTCCTAGCTCTTACGGTTTGGGCTGTGCGTTGATCACCAATCAGTCAGTCAGTCAGTCAGTCAGTCAGTCAGTCAGTCAGTCAGTCAGGACAAACAGTTTTATATATAGAGATATATTTATTTTTTTTTTTTTTTGGCATGATAAGAATTTTATATAAAATCTGTCTTTCGTTGACAATAAATCTATTCTCTACATATATGATTCTACATATATGGATGTACATTATAAAAAAATCAAATCAAGAGATTTACAACATAAATGATTTGCAGAAAATAGAAAAATAAAAAGTTGAAGTCCCAAAAAGTCTCGAAAAATGTAAATCTCCCACAATTTGAGAAGTAGAGTCAACTAATCTCTCAGGTAGAGTATGAACAACGAGAATGCATATAATATTATATTTATATTCTCTTTGGTATGACCCTCTCTCAAAACCGATCTAACATTTTTTGTCGCAACCGATAGGAAAACTGCTAAAAATCTTTTTCTAATACATCTTTAAAGCTAGATTTCCGAAATTTGTCAGACAGATACTCATGTGCTCCTCTAAAGATTTGGCTTATATATTGCAAAAATCTATATTTCCTGAAGTAACTTGTGGTTACAAGAAGACTTTATCGACTGATTTAAACGGAGAACAGAGTATTGTAATGTCGGTTGCACTTTTTTGTTTTATTTAAAGGCTTCCCTTGGTTGAGTTTTATTACGAATGAACCATTCCAACTTAAACATATTTTTATTTTAGTTGTAAGCCTTGGTGCCTATCATAGGATTTTGAATAAAAAACGAATTCACTTTTCCTACTTCCTACCAAACATTGCCATATGGCATCTGTTAGAAAAATCTCAGTACGAAGCGGAAGTAACTTTCAATTTTTCTCGGTCAACCTTTTTTGTTCCTTTTTTTTTTTTTTGAATGACGCAGGCGAGGTGCGTGAAAAGGGGAAAAAAGCCTGGAAAATCGACAGTAATTTGTTTCCTCTTATGAGCCACATGCTTACGGATGATATTAAAATTTGTAACCACTCAAAATGCAGTTTGTTAATTTCCCCATTTTCTATATTTCAAGTGTGCGACGCGTGGGCACTTCCGCTTAAAATTTGTTAGGCCTTTACCTGAAGGACTCTATTGACCCAATGGAGCCTTGCGGCTGGGAAAATGTTTTTCCTGATCTCAGAGCTGTGATTTCGTGCATGCAGCTCTTACGCAAAGCTGAAACCTCGCTGCTATCTCACGCATATTTACTGTGGGTTATTGATATGCTCCTGTATGCATTTCAGATGCACTTGTTGGCCACAGGACCTTAACATGTTTATCAGGGCCCATTCACAGCCATTGGGTCGTGTGAAAAATGCAAGCGATTTGAATTTGCTCGGCACAGGTAGTCGGTAGAATTCATTTCATCCTTTGCTCTGGCAAAAAGGATCACCTTGGGTGTATGTTAAGTGTCGGTCGGTGTGTGTGTGTGTGTGTGTACGTGTGTGTGTGTGTGGGAGAATTCCTGTTAAACACTGCATGACTTTGTTGTTTGTTTGTTTGCAAGGATATCTCTATTATAATACAAACGAGATTTTTGGGTTTAAGCTGAATTTAACTGTGGGAAAAATTGTTTGTCTCAATGTTTGGCAAGTTAATTACAATAAAATGGGCTGAAAGTAATGCAAAGGATGTGCGAATTAGAAACTAGTTTTTATCTATAGAAAACTTGAGTATCCTGTGCTGCTTCGGGGCGATTCTATTGCGCAATTGAAACCAGTAATTCCGCACTAGGGAATCATCTATTTTTTCTCCAGTTAACCAGTTTTCAGAAACTGCGCATTTGTCCAGCTGGACCTCACATGGCAGCCCACTTCGAGGCCAGAATTTATGCAACTATCAAGCCAATAAGTATGCCAAGCGAATTGCAATGCCAGCATAAAAAGATTCCCATTCCCACAAGACGTAGGGAAAACGAAATCAAAAGTAAAAACAAAAGTGATAAACCGTAACGAAGTGCACAGGAATTCCATATAGACCGCCGACCAGCAAAGAGAGAGAGAGAGAGGGAGATAGAGAGAGAGAGAGAGTGTGGCCCAGCATCAAATCACAGCAAACACAGACAAAGAAAAAGGATCAACAGAACAAGTGCAATGCAAACAGGCGCAAAGCAAACAGCGAAGCGAGCACAGATAAAAGATCTCGTAAATGTGTGTGTGTGCATGTGTGTGTGCATGTGTGTGCGTATGTGTGTGGGAACACGACGAACAAGTGCAACGGTATTTGAAGACTGCAAAAGGATAATAGCGCTAAAAGGAAATGAAAATTATGATAATTTTTTGTTCTTTCTCACAGCAGATCGGATAACAGCAGCCACAGCCGTCGTGTCGCTATGATTGAGTGTGGGAAGTTCGAAGGCGAACGCGAAGGCGAGTATGCCGCAGGGACGGAGCCGAGAGCCGAGGGCGTCGCCAAGCTGGATGTGTCGCTCGACAGCCACACGCAAGGCAGCCGCAGGACATGGGGTCGCTGTGCGGCGGCTACTACGGAAGTGATTTGAATTGGAAACGAAAAAAAAAAAAACGGCATTATCCTTGAGAGCGAAAGGATGTTAATCAATTTTATTGAACTGCAATTCATGAAATCACTTTTACTTTGATTTCTCACTGTGCTGCGTATAGCCAAAGAGCTCCTTGAGCAGATTATAGATAATCATTTGTCGCGTCACTTCCGCCTCATATTTCATATACTCCTTCAGGCGATGCTCCTTGAACAGCTGATCGAGCAGCTCGTATAGCTCCATCTCCAGAGCGCGCAACGAGATCTCCAGCTCTGGCGTGTGGGTGCCCGATAGCAGGGCTTGCATATAGACATGGGATATCTTCTCTAGAGCCGCATCCAGGGAGTTGAGCATTTTGTCCTCTGGATTGTGTGCCAGATGAGCGGCGGGTCCTGCGAGCTTTGGTGAGGCGCGATACTCAGCATTAGCCGCGATCAGCGGTAAGAATACCAGGCAAATCAGCCAGAGCTGATTTAAAACTAACTTTACTTGCATGACGAGACTTTAAGCTAGGAATTTTTGTGTTTTCTAAAACTTTATCGAAGATCGAGGCACGCCTATTCAGCCCGTCCAGCTGAGGATCACTGCGTGCTCTGTTGCAATAACTTTTGTGCGAGCTGGGAAATTGTGTCGTCAAAATTAGAGCACGACGTCTCTTTATATACTGGAAAGATCTGGCACAGCCCATCGGGGTTATCAATTCACTGAATCGTTGCAAAAATGACCGACTATGTAGTCGAACAAGGTTACTTCCGCCAATTGGTTTATATTATCAGCGGAAATTTGTGCAAGTATAAGCTTCCGTTCTGCTATGGGTCAAGGTTGGGATCACATTATAAATATGTTGGTTTAGATTTAATTCCATGTGGCATTCATGTTATTCCATTCATGGGTTTTAAAATCAATTCAAATCAACATTTTATACCATTACGATTCCAATGTATACAGAAATTAATATAAAGCCAAAAAATCAGTTTCAAAAACTTCACTCAACCATTTCTGATTCTTTTCATTTAAAGATAATATTAAAGCAGGAATTAAAATCGTTTTAATTCCAAATCAATTCTAGCTAAATCAATTACAATAGTTAATGCCTTTTTCTTCCATTTATACTTTAACCTAAAAATTAACCCATTTAAAAAATGTAAATAACCATTTTTTTTTTTGCTTATTTGAAGCAATTTTGCTTATTTTATTTGTTTCACTTTTATTTGTTTTGCTCAGTGGAAATGCAGCTGGAACAACTCCATAAAGTATACTAAAATAAAATAGTAATAACCTCTAAAAATGTTAGCTGGAAACATGAAAAATTTGACGCTAAGATCTACATAACTTAGTTAAAAATTCTTGCAGTTAAAATTTAAATAATGTAA